GTGAGCAGGAGTGTACAATGCTGGGCCAGGCTGTGGCTGGAGCTCTGCAGCAAGGCTCACTCACCTTTTCTCGTGCAGGTGCATGCAGCGCACGGTGGAGGTGTGCCCGTACAGCGTGTGCACGCACTCGCCGCTGTCCGCGTTCCACACCTTCAGCGTGCGGTCCGTGGAGCCACTGATGACAATGCTGTCCCTCATCTGGGAGGACCAAACCCCCCCAGTGTGGCCCACCAGCGTCTGCACGCACTGTGGGGAACAGGACACGAGGGACAGGTGAGCCTCTCGCAGCTCCCCGCCCCTGAAACAGGGCAGAGGAGCAGCACAACCCCGTGTCCTTGTCACAAAGGGCCCAAACTGACCCCAGGAGCCAGGGTGTAACCCCACCTGTGCCCAGCACAGGGAGACGGTGCCTGCCCCAAACCCCCTTGGCACTGTGATAATGCCACACTCACTGCCCTGGTGACAGTGACACTCACCTCCCCTGTGACAGCTGACCACACTTTGAGCGTGTTGTCATCAGAGCCACTCACTATGCGATTCCCACAGAACTGCAGGCAGGTGATCACATGGTCATCGTGGCCCTTCAGCACCTGTGGGAGTACATGAGTGTGTGGGGGGCAGTGTGGCCCCTCCAGCCAGCAGGACCCCCCAGCACAGTGAGCAGTGGCAAGGCAGCAGAGCTGGGGTGTGTGGTGTGTCTGGCAGCTGCTCAGGGGTAGGAGTTACAGGAGAACAAGGAGTGGGGGCTCAGGAACCCAGCAGCAAGAGAAGGGGTGGTGGGGACTCTGCCCAGAGGCAGGAGGGAGCCCCAGGGACACCCAGACCCACCTTGGGGGGACCACAGCTTCCCAGAGCCTGTCCCCAGGGACACCCAGACCCACTTTGGGGAACCACAGCTTCCCAGGGACAGCCAGACCCACCTTGGGGGGCCGCAGCTCCCCGCTGCGCCAGTTCATGTCGATGCGGTGCTGGCGCAGGAAGGCGAATTTCCAGGGGCTGTACATGAAGCCGGGGCTGAGCAGGCGCCGCTTCCGCAGGTGCAGGGGCTCCTCGATCCCTGCAGGGACAACACGGCGCTGCCTCACCTGGGCCAAGCCCGGGGTGGCCCCCAGTCCCCAGCTGGGAGGACCCTCACCCTCCTCACGGCACTTCTCCCTCCAGAGCAGGTTGTCCTCGGCCAGCACCCTCCAGTAGCGGCACGTCTGGGCGGCACGGAGCAGGTCCCGTGGCTCCAAGAAAGACAGCACGTACAGGGCCAGCTGTGGGACGATAAGGGTCACAGAGGGGTCACCAGGGGGGATGTCAGGCCAGGCCCTGGTCCCCAAGCTTCACTCACCTCCTTGGGCAGCAGGGAGATGAAGTCCCGCTGGAACTGGGGCTCGATGATCTGCATCATGTACTTGATCTGCGCCGGCTCGCAGCGGTCAATGAGCTCATCCAGGGCCAGCAGCTTCTCAGGGCCACTCCAGCGCTGCAGGGGGACCCCCAGTGTCATGGTTTGAGCCTGGCACAGAGCCAGTGCCCCCATGAAAATGCCCTCACCCTGGTGTCTGCTGTGAGATGTGACCAGGAATAAGCAAAACAGGCT